AATAAGATAAAACATTGTATCTAGGTAAGACTGATCATCCATCTTCCCTTTCATAAAACCCTGTTCACATCTCTTAACATGCCTTTCTCTGTATTTATTCCATCATAAAGGTATACATACACTTAGAAGTCTTGTTTATTTGTATGCATATGTATAAGGGGGTAACATTCTCCAGAATTTCCTTTCTTCTGTGGTTCTGGACTGGGATTGGCCAAAGGAAAAAATTTACCTGGGATTTGAAGGGAAAAATAAAAATAGTTTGATTGGAAAGTTAGTGTAGGATCAAGTGTTATCACAGCTTATACACATTTTTTTGTAGACCTACTAGCTTACCCTATTGGTATCAGATAATATCTATGCCCAAAGTTTCTCCAGCTCCTACAAGATTTCCTCCTTCAGCTTCTTCTGCTTTTACATATGTTCTGCTTTATGACCAAGACTTATCCTGCAGGTCACCCACATCACAAAAGTGGGAGAATTGGAGGAAGTAAAAGAACCATTTGGGTTCCAGTTTTAGGTTCCATTTTGTTTTGTTTGGGTTTTTTTTTGTTTTGTTTTTGTTTTTGTTTTTTTTTTTTTGGTAGAGACAGGGTCTCACTGTGCTGCTTAGCAGCCTTGCTTTACTGTGGCTGGCTTTGAACTCTCCATCCTCCTGCCTCAGCTTCCTGAGCCACTGGGATTACAGGCATGCGCCACCATGCCTGGCCCATTTTGGTTTTGAGGCATGGCATTTTATCACTATCTTTCCTTCCCAACTGCCTTCCCTGAAGATTTTAGGCCCTACATTGGATACAGAAGCCTTAGCCATACACAAACTGTTTTACCAGCTCCCACAACTGCACAAGGCCAAACTGTTATAATATATTCCTATTCTATATGGCTCCTAGAAGTTCTGCTTCAGAACTTCAAACCCTGACTGATACAGTGCGTTGGTTTCTTTTAATCTAGATAGAATCTTATTATGCAACTTTCTTTCTTAACTGATAGGTCGTGGAGATCCTTACAAGTCACTAGATCTCACCCCCTTCCCCCATCCATTTCTCTGTGTATGTTTATACACAATCACACTAAAATGTAAATTTCTATAAGTGGTATATATCATGCATTCTAAGTTCACTTAATGATTTATCTTTTTTCTTATTCTTCCTTTTTTCTCCTAACTCCTACCTTATGTCCTACACCTACCCTCTAGACAATTAACATTAACCAATTTATATATGCTTCTGAATTTCTCTTCATGCTCATATATAAACTAAAAGCTTTATTGTTTAATAAACTAATAATTTCCACCATGCGACCAGCGCACTGGTTTCATTAAAGAGGTTCTTGGCATAAAAGTTAGCTAGTGAGATCGAAATAAAACACACAGACTCAGTTACCTTTTTCTATGACCAGGTCCGAGATGGCTCTCCCTCTGATTCATACCTCGAACCACCCGGTAGGGCAGCAAGGATTACTCAGGGCTAGCAGGAGAGAGAGAGAGAGCACGCCAGGGAGTAGCCTTTTATTGGAGAACAAGAAATTCAGGGGAGAATTCCATCCAATGAAGGTTGAGGGGGGCAGCACTCCAAGGTCAGGGTCAGTGATTGGCCCCCGGGTCAGTGTTCAAGTCACACCCCCACATGGACAGGCTCTGGCACCAGGAGAGGGTCGGGAAAGCTCCGACACAGTTTAGCCAGAGCGCCTCAGACCCAAACCGGGAGTTGCCCAGTCACGTGTGAGAATGGCTCCCCACATATAATCTCCCTACCAAGGTATACTATCAATTTTTTTTCACATGTTAAATTCTCATATAATCTATTTCTGAATTTCCTATCTTATCAATTGATATATCTGTTCTTATGGTGATGCATAGTGATTTGATTACAAAAGCCATATCAGGTTCTTATATATTAAGGACCCCCACACATATACACTGTTCCTTTTTATATACGTCTAGATTATTATAAGACACTTATTCATATATGTAAATTTGAAGACAACCTATTTTTTTAAATTCTGTTAAGATACTAGTTGTAAATGTATTTTCTTTTATATTGGTGTGGAAGGACTACCATTCTATCATCTTTCATCTCCATGTTCAAGAACATGAAATGACTTTGCAGTTGCTTACATCTTGTTTTAAGTGCTTCAGTTGAATTTTTTTTCATATAATCCTATGCCTTTCTTTGTACTGCTTAGCAGCCTTGCTTTTATTCCTAATTTTTTATAGTTTTTGTCACTATCATGAACAGAATATTACTATTTTTCCATTTTTATTTCTAGGTTCATATTGCTAAAATACAGGAAAACTTTATTTTAAACATTTATCTCATATCCAGCCCCCTTAATAGATTATTTTTCTAATTCTGGTCCTCAGAGTTTATTCAGAGAAACAGAGCAACTAGTATCATGAAATAGGTTTAATTATAGGAAAAGACCTTACACAAGTGTTTGGAAATGTTTGGAAGAAAGTCTCCAAATGGGAATTAGAAGATGAGAAAAAAGTCACTAATGAGACCTCTGAAACGTATGTGCATGGAAGTCTGGAAAGCTGGATACATCTAGAAGCCAGAGAGAAGACACAAAGAACTGGCTGAAAAGTTTATGAATAGCTGGTCTCTCTGCATAGCTCCCACTTGTGGAGTTGCTGGAGGACCTGAGTTACTTGTGGTCAGGTCTAGCAGGAAGTAGAGTTAGAAATGGAGTAGGAAAAGAATGGTGATGAACTCAAATTCACTGGTACTTCTACAATTATCCATCAATTATCCCTGCTCTAGAGGATCTTCAGAGATAGTGACTTCCTCTGCCTCCCAAGTCTCATGTGACTTCTGATTTTGGCCAACTCTTGCACAAAATCACAAATGTGAGGAATTCTAAGAAATATATTTCCCATTATAACCTCCTTAACCATATAACAATCCAGCACAACTCTCTTAGTGGTTTCTTTTCTAATGCCTATGCATCTTAATTAATTTTCTTGCCTCCCTATAGTTACTAGAATCTCCAAGGCAATATTAAAATAGTAATTACTAACAATGACCCTCCCTAAATAGTTCCTGATTTGAATTGAAATGGTTTGAGAGTTTTCTTATTTAGAATGACATTTTCTGTTGGTTTCTGGAAAATTGCCTTCATTGTAGCTAAGTAGTTTCCTTCTACTTATTATTTATTGAGAATGACTTCTGAATTATGCTAAATGCTTTTTCAGCATCTACTGATATAATCATTTTGTTTTTCCTTTTGGATTTCATGATGTAATGAATTATGTTGATAGATTTCCAGACATTAAATACTCTCTTTGTCTTGGAATAAACCCTTCTTAGTCATATTATATTAATATTGTGATATGTTACTGAATTCCATTTGTTATTACATTATAACTTTTGCTTATATATTTATAAATGAGATTACCGTTTTAACATTAAATCTATGTGAATTGTGGAGTATTTTTCTGGGACACTTTATGCTGAAGACCCAATAATTTAAATGTATCATTTATGGCATTAATAGGTGACCAGCAGAATGGGAAAAGGAGAGGGGATTCAATGCTCATTCTCACAGCAGCTTTCCTATTGGTTGACCTCTGGGTCCTGAGATAAATGACTCACTGCACAACTGATCTGCAATCTCTCATGTCTTTCTCTTCAGCATGTTTATTATTTCATTACGTACTCATTAATGGGAAGGACCATCTGCTATGATGTTTTTATATAACAGATTTAATTAGTCATTCATTTGATGCTCAGAAGATAGAGGAAGGTATTTATATAAAATATTATTAAAAGTATTTTTTTTCTGAATTCAGTAGGAAATAAACACTATTATTGGCTATCCTCTTCACAAAATTCATATTTACACAATGTTAAAAGCATAACTTCAATTCCATAAAATTGGATGCTCTAGGAATCCAAGTGTTTTTCATATACATCAACCACAATGGTTTTGATATTTCACTAAGTTCATATTAAGTTCATTCCCTGAGCCTGATATTGTCATCCAAAAAAAAAAATCTGCCACTTCCTCTTTTTTCTAAATATGCAGATTTCCTATTTGAATTACTAAAAGCAAGCAGAGACTTGTATACAAATGTAATTTATATAGTCTGTTCTCTATGAGGAAGAAGAAAAGGTTGATTTAATTCTTTCACTTGCCTTTGAGGGAACATGTAGATATAAGCTAGTGGTACTAACATCAGGCTCTTGTCGGAAGGGCTCAGAAACAGAGCAAGGATTCTTAGGGGTCAAAGAATCCATAAAGGCAAATTGGTCTGCGCCTGCCTCAAGCTGTGGTGTTAATATTAGTAGAGAAGATGCTGTAGAAATGGGGGGGACGATAAAAGTGATATTTAAATTGCTATGAAGCTTGAATTGAGCTCTTTTCCATTATTCTAGAATCATTACTAATATAAGGGAAGGATAGAGAAACCCAAACCCAATGAAAAGCCATAGGAAGCTAGAGAACACATGAAAATCTCAGCTGGTGAATAAAATCTATCACATTGGCAAAACAGTGTGAGTGAAAATCTTTTAAACATTTATCAACCACAGGGGCTGAATGTTGAGTACAAGATTAAGATGATGCTGGGGAAAAGGGGGGGGGGGGCATTCATGCTCACCCCTCTAAGAAAAGCTTGCCCGTGCTCCACTGAGTCACATACCATCCTGGTGATAAGGCAAGCTCAGCTGCTAAACACATGTCTTGCCTATGATGTATATATCACAAAGCATGACAGAGATGTTGTGGCTCAGCTCCCTGAATCAAGTAACCTCTAAAGTGAAGATTAGATATTAAATAGTTTTCTTGCTCTATTATCAGAGTTATAACAAATCTAAGTGCTAAATTCCTTTGAATATATTGTCCTTCACACCAAACTGGCAATACCATAAAGATAATAACTAAAATAGAATATTTAACAAATATTTATTGATCACCTACTATGTGCAAAACTACAAAGATAAATCAGATATGGTCTCAGAGTTCCAGGAGTAAAAGTTCATGTTCTGGGAGGGAAACAGACATACGTAAATAACACCAAGCCGAGTGTAACAAGAATAATAATAGAGGAGCAGAATTCTGTCAGAGTGTGGGGGGAGGAGGAGGAAGGATGAATAAAGATGACAGCCGGGAAAAGGTAGTTCATACAACATTCTGGCGTGGTTTCGGAGTTCTCATCCTGACTGGATTACTAACGAGCTGCGTGACCTTCAGCCGGTCTCTGGGCTTTCGTTTTCTCTTCTGTAAAATGAAAGAGTTTTTCTATAATGATCTCTCAAGATCTGCCTTCAGAACAGAGTCTCTCTAATTGTGTTATCCTATTCACACAGAAAAATGGCAAGAGTAAAACGGTTCTCAGAAATAAACTTTAAAAATTTTACCATAAAATAGTTTAAGTAGCAGAGCATCTTATATACACTTTTCACTGTGTATTTCATATTTCTGTACAGGTCTGCATCAATACGTTGGGAAGTCGGAAGAGAACATCTCAAAAGTTTTGCATGAAAAAAAATATTAAAATACGGAAAATTACAAAGAATAATACAAAGAACAATATAATTACAAAGAATACTATTATAGTATGTTTAATATAATTCATACTATTACAAAGAATAATCTGATTATTATAATATATTTACTATAATTAATATAGTATATTACAAAGAATATTATAATAATAATTTATAGTCTGCATTTAAAAAACAAAATATTACAGATAAAGCTAAAATCCCCATAACCACATCCCTCTTGTGCAGTTCTCTTCTTACTCTCCAGAAGCAACTACTAGATTTTGTTTTAAGTTGCTTCAAATTCATTTTTTATCTCAACATATATCCATCCACAGACAATACTTAGACTATCTGGTATGCTTTTCACTAATACATGTATCTTATCTTCTATTTTTTTTTTTTGCTTTTATTGCTTAGTGTCAGGTTTTTTGAATCTACTCATCTGACAGCTTGTTCTTTTTCATTGCTGTGTAAAATTCCATCGTATGATTTTTTTTCCCATATGGATCATTAGGAGTCAAAGAATCAATTCATAAAGGCAAATTGGTCCAAAAGGATTTTTGGATTATTTTCAAATGTCTAATATTAGAGTCAATGCTGCAATGAACACACATATATACATCTCTTTCTGAACACATATGAGAGTTCAGAGTAGGACATATATACTGAAATGGAATGGCCTATTATAGGGACAAGTGTTTACAAACCTTATTAGGTATTGCCACATGCATTCTAAAGTTGAACCAGTTTGTACTACCATCAGAGGTGCATGAAGTCCCCACTTTCTTACCAACATTTGATATTGTCTGACATTTAAACTTCTTCTGATGGTCTTGATGAAAAAAAAAAGGTATCTCATTATTCTTTCCCCCAGTAAAACATTTTTTTTGACTGTGCCTTTTAGCCAAGTAGATTTGAGTTGTTGCTCCTTTCTGTTTGCCAACATTCATGTTGTTGTATAGGAGTTTTAATTTTCAAATTTTATCATTTTATCCTATTTAAGAAAGACTTCTTAATCTTGAAGCAACTCTAATAGTTCAAGTTTGTTTTTCCCTTTAGGTCTTTAATCCAACTGGAAAATATTCTTGTGGACAATGAGGTAAGGAATATATATATATATTTTTTACATGGGAAGGGAGTTGTCCAAAACCATTTGTTGAATAATTTGTTCTTTCACTCAAAGATTTGTGAAGTAACTTCTTTTAATTACCAACTTGTCATAAATACTCATGTCTGTTTCTGGATGCTTTATACTGATCCATTGATCTATTTTATTCCAGTCTATTTTTTTATTTCCTAGTCATTGGCTATTTTAATAAAACAAACTCATTAAATGAGTTTAACCATTTCTGTTATTTTAGCCCAAGGATTTTCTCCACTGCCCTTCCAGATATCCAAAGTCAGCTAGCAGCTACTGTGGGGAGATGCCTGCATGGAGTAGGCATCTAGTGTCCCTGGAATGGAACAATTGGATCATGGTGTGCAATCTTTTTCATGTGTTTTTGAATGCAGATTGCTAATATTTTGTTAAGAATTAAAAATTTTATTAATAGTTTTTTATTAAGGTCCATATGGATATTGGTCTGTAGTTTTCTTGATGTGTCTTTATCTGGTTTGGTATTAGGGTGATACTGACTTCATAAAATGAATTTAGGAGTGCTCCCCCCACCTTTCTTTCTCACAGAATAATTTGAGGAGGATTGGTATTAGTTCTTCTTTAAAAGTCTCATAGAACTCAGATGAGACTCCATCTGGTCCCAGGTTTTCTTTGTTGAGAAGTTTTCTATTACTGCTTCAATCTTGTTGCTTGATATTTGTCTGCTTAGGTTTTCTATATCCTCTTGGTTCAATTTGGGTTAAGTCATATGTGTCTAGAAATTTTTTAATATCTTCCATATACTTTATTAGAATATTAGTTTTCAAAATGTTTCCTAATGATCCTTTGGATTTCAGCAATGTCTGTGGAGATGTTTCCTTTTTCATCTCTAATTTTGTTGATTTTGGTCTTCTGTCTCTTTCTTTTGGTTAGTTTGGCTAAGGGAATGATGAATGGATCAGAAAAGAAATGGGGAGAAATGGGAAAATTTTTGGAAACAAATAAGAACAGGGATACAACATATCAAAATCAAAATCTCTGGAACACAATAAAGGCAGTTCTAAGAGGAAAGTTTATAGCATTAAGTGTCTACATTTTTTTAACAAGTCCCAAATAAATAATCTAATGTTATATCTCAAGGCCCTACAAAAGCAAGAACAAACTAATTCCAGAACCAGTAGAAAACAGAAAATAATTAAGATTAGAGCCAAAATTAATGAAATCAAGAATAAAAAATACAAAGATCAATAGAACAGAGTTGATTTTCTGAAAATATAAACATGATTGCTAAACCCTTAACCAAACCAAAAGAGAGAATAGACCATTTTTGAACCTACTCTATCTTCTATCTTGTTTTTCTCCTTATTATCTTAATGTGCACATAAACAGTCATTTCAAAGGATTCACAAGGCATTTTGAGACCTCTAGATAGCCTTTCCAAATCTACTTTTTTGTTTTGTTTTGTCCCCAAATCATGTCTGATTTCTAGCCCAAACTCAGATTTCTTCATTAATTCAGTACATATTTATTGAATTCTTGCTCAAAACACTTTACTAAGCACTTTAGGAGATATTAATTTACCACTCTAGAATCCCTACCTATGTAAAATCTACCAGTCACTGGGGAAGTGAAACATTAAATTCTGACTATTTGTGTATTAGTGACCTCTCAGGTACACAAACTAGGGAAGTTCCCAGAAAAGTAATAAAAAATTTCTACCTGGGAGAACAGGGAAAGTAAAATTCAATTCAGGCATTGGGGGACTTCTAAAAGCAGAAATAATGGAAGAAGAATAAAATTATTGCAGAAGACAAGTGGAAATATTTAGGAAACAGGAAATATGACCATTTGGAGAAGGGGTGCTAAAGAGTAATAAGGGTTTAGGCATTGGGTGAAGGACATGAATCCTTAAATTTAATTTGTTGCCATGTGTATATCCACAGAAGACTTAGGTAGAAATAACAGATTAGAACTGTATTATGGAAGATTGTCACTTGTACATGAAGTGGTATGGAAGTGATTTAGAACTTGCAGAAATTATGAGACTTCTTAGAAAGCTTTACAATATTGCATTTGAGGTAATGAGGGTTGGATAAGAGCTCACTTAAGAAAAAGGAAGAAAGAGGAGGCAAGGCTAGAGATTAATGAATGCCAAAGAAGCAGAAGAATCAAGGATCCCCAGTTGGCTGGTAGTCAAAAGTCCTGGCTCTTAGTCCTAATTTATTTATAATCTTTGGGTTACAATTTTGGTGGGCACAGCTACTTTGAACAGAGTGTAGTAGAACCAAGTGGGGCCATGCAATGGCCATCCTGTTTTCTGATCAAAATTTTCTTCATAGTAAGAGTCAAGGACATGATAGTGTCTTCAGGAAAATGAAGCATCTTAGGCTATCTGATTCAAAGAAAGACTTGAAGTAAGAACTGTTTCACATGTAACATAGGGCAAAAGTATAAATTCTTGACTCTGTTTCCTTGTCAATAAAATAGGGACAACAATACCTACTTCAAAGTACCCCCCCACAAGGATTTAAGACCTAATGACTTCATATATATAAAATATCAACACAATGTGAAGAACATAGCAATGCTTAATAAGTAGTAACCCATGTTTTCTTCCCTAATTGTGATTTCCAAACCTTGCCAAGATTGGTTTTTGTATGAGAATAACTTAAAGACTCATACATATGTACTAAGAAGTTATTTATATAGATCAATCTCTTCAACTTTCCTTATTTTCACTTAATATTTCAGCAATTGTTTTTATAAAGCACTGCTTGGATAAATCAGAAAAGGTAGTTTAATTGAAAAATTTTCAATCCATATAAAAATCTTAAAGCTGATGTGGGCAAAATAACAGTCAGAATGGCCAAATTTTGAACAGAAAGTGTATACCTCACTACACAATGAGCTTGATTCTTAAAATTCTCAGTTAACTCGAATTTTATAAATTTAATTCTCAGAATTTCATTGTCAAATCTGGATTATAACTTCACCACATTTATTCAATAAATCTATTGACAGCAGCCCATAATATGTTGGTTTCAGTTTAATAGTCCTATTTGCATAATTTTAATCTATATAAACAAATAAAAATGCATTCGCCATTTAAAAAAAGTCTGCTGAGCTTTTAAAAAATACAATACATATTATTCCTTTGTAATTTTTATGATGCAATTTGTATTTCTTATTGTTTGCTCATAAGTTTTTTTAAACACTTTGATTTATTCCTTTATTTATTTTTAAATAAGATCTATGAAGGTGAAGAACACATTTGCTTGGTTCTCTACTGTTTTATTAGCATTTAGCAGAGGACCTGGAACAAAGCAGGTATCCAATGAATATTTTGTTCAAGGAATGAATAAGTACCACAGGTAAATCATACTCCTACACACAGACTTTAACTGTGATTTTAGTATATAATGTGTTCAAAAATAGCATATACTTGCCCTCATTAAGCTTGTAACTGAATAAAAGTGCAGAGACACAAGTAATGAGGCAATTCTATCATTGTTTAATAAGTTCTGTTATGAGTACTGGACACCACGTACTGTGGGGCTTTTTGGCAATGTAGAAAAAGAGCATTAACTAGAAATAAACATACTGTTCAGAAAGACAAGTGTCACATGTTTTCTCTC